TTGTATTTTATACCGTGCCATAGAAAATACAGCCAATCGGAATACAGGAAAGCCGTTGTATATTCGACGGTGTTACATCCAACCTTCCCATCGTGCGCTTCGCGTATATCGCATTGATTGTGCTGGCCACAGTATTTTCCATGGCATGGTATAAAATAGTTATGCAACGCTCTCCTGTGATAAACCATGGAATATCACACTTGTCACTTCTATTTTCTTGGTATTCTGAGAAGACAAGTGACTCGTGGAATATTTCAAGGTACACCATTCGAAAGCGTTACATTACTAGTAATTATTGTATCGCAATGTATTGCATACTATTGTATTGTATTCTATTGTGTTGAAATGTATTATATTGTATTAATCTTGTCTTGTATTGTATCTTATTGTGTACATGTAGTATCGTATCGAAACGTATTGTATTGTATTGTAAACTAATGCTACGTTCATGCTACATGAGGGGTGGCGAATGGTCCTTCAAAAACCATGGGTCTCGCAAAAATTTCGCCGAGTTTCACGGGTCTCGCAGTCTCGTTTTTTTTCAAGGCTAAGAAAGTCGCGAAGTACCGATTTGTTTATTTTTTTTAGTAAAGTTAAATGACATCACAACATCTTAGAACCTGAACGTCTTGAGTTCGCATTTGAAACACTTTAAAGTCTCGGTGTCGCAGTTGAAGAAATCAAAATGTCTCGGGCTCGCAAAGGAAAACGCTAATCTCGTCGTCTCGCAAAGTCTCGCATTTACCATTCACCACCCCTTACATGTACAGCGTAGTGCTGTAGTCATACCAGGCAATGTGGAAAACATCACAAATTAGCCAAACTACTAAAGGATGGACCATCAAGAAACAAGACTGAAATATTAGTAACTTAATTATGATTGTGTAGTACTCAGACACTTACGACTGTGTCTCCCCAATGTATACGTAGAATCCTCTGTAGTCCAGGAGTGCAATAGCGGTAACATACTTTTCCTTGTTTTCGTAGCGCACTCTGTACCAGAAAGGGGTGCCTGCACTGGTATGGTCTGATGACTTCATCCAGAAGCACAGCGTGAAAGCGAAGAGATCTGGCATATCAGTTATGTTCACATAGCCACGGTGATTTCCAGAAAAATTCAGTTGGTAATTGTTTTCCCTCGTAGGGCCTATGAGAAAAGATGTTCTGTGTAAGACCGATTTATTACATTTCTTATCGGTATAATCTTGCGGAGTTTAGGAAAGTAAAACCGGGAAAGAATGTTCTGTTCTGAACAAAAAACCTCAATGAAAGTGTGTCCGTTATCACGCTCATTAATATTCTCACTCATTGGAATTCTCAGTCATCTGCAGTTTCCTTAATGTTTATGGGCGTTTATTCATGATCCAAGATTGTCAATTGATAAGTGTTATTGTTTAGAAGTTCGCGATATTGAAACATTGAAACTCATAAATTGTCAACTACTTTTGAAGAAATATCGCTGGAGCAGCCTATCAAGTGCCTTCAAAAGTTTAATCTGTCATTAAGAAAACACGACAGCAGTTTCTACAACGAAGAGTCGCTTACTGCGATTCGGTGATTCATTTTAGAGTGAATCCTCCGGGCAGCAACTTTCAGGAAAGTTGTGAATACTGAACTGAATTATATTTTTTGTTAGTAGAATTCTACTAGTATACTAATGCAAATGCTGCAATCTGATTGGCTGAGCTACTCGTATACTATCAGTCATTAGAGTGCAGTGGCTGTCGGTCGTCCACAAAATGCGACGTTTTAATCGTTTTGCGAAGTTTTGGAAGAAAGTTTAGATGTAAATGGATAATTCGCTCTCGATTTCTATGAGACGATAGTTGATGAAGCCTACGGCCTCATCAACTATCACCTCATAGAAATCTCGAGCTCATAATCTAATTTTTTAAATAGATCAACGAATCAAAGACTTTTTTCCATTAAGTTTTCTGATTTCACAAGTTGACGAAACACGTTTTGATTTCTATTGTTGATCCTTGATGATCATAGCGTTTCCTTCGAGCCTCGTAACTAGATTCTCGAATGAAATCGAGTGTCGAATCGAAACCGTAACGCGTCATCCTATATTTGACTGAAAATGTGGCTTACTTTGTTGGGCTCTTTGCCTTACTTTATAACTCACTATAACCTTTAATAAGGATATATATTATGCAGAAGCAGTAATTCTTTACCTGAACCTGGGTTTGAAAGCGTCAAGCGTTCCATTTCTTGCTTCGTTGTTTGTTTCCACAGTCGAGAGCCTTTCCTCGTGTTATCCCATCCGCAGAAGCCTTCACGAAACTCCAAACAGCCGACATTTACTTCAATAAAAACAGATAAGAGGGTGTTATTAGATTAGAATTAGCCCACAACGTATGATTAGGTTAGGCAAAAAGTAAGAAGAAGAGAGGAATAGAGAAATGGTGTAAGTAGATACGATCGAATGGAGGGATACAGGGATGGGGAAATGCTGGAAGGGAAGTATCTGAGTAATGGAAGAATCAAAGATTGGGGTATTGGAGGAATGGATGGCTCGATGGATTCATGGAAGTAAGGGAAAAACGCCTCTAGGAATTTCAGAATGGGGGAATAGAGTTGGGGAGAAATGAAAAACCGAGGGAAATGAGGAAATTAAAAATTTAGGAATGACCGAGGGCAAAGAAATGAATGGAAAAATGGAAGATAGAGGAATGACGGGATGACGGTGTGGGGAAGGGTGGTGGAATAGCTAAGTGAAGTAATAAAGGAATCAATGAACGAATGGGATGAATTGTATAATGGAGAGTTGAAGGGATGAGGGAATGGAAAAAAGGAGAAACGAAGACATGTATTAGGAGAACGAAAATAGGGAAATAAAGGAATGGGGGAATGCGGATACGACATGAATGACGTTCTTGGCATCCAGAAATGTAAAAACGTCACCACTTACGACTGCACGTGCCAGACATTTGACCTTGTTTGTTGACTGAAGATGTTTGACACCACAAATCCTGGCTATCTACACCAGTACAGTAATTGTGTTGTTTTCCTTGGTAAACAAAAGGGAAAACGCAGCAATTTCCATCTGTTGTACTTCGTACAGGACACGATGCTCGAGTTGGTCCTAACGTAAGATAGAAGTAAGAAAAAATTCAATGATGCATGGTAGATTCCATATTTTGAATGGGAAGTGCATGGTTACTAGCACGCATAAGACATAATACGGGACAAGAACAGCAGCAACTGGTCACTTTGCAGTTGGGTCATTTGCTTCCCATTTGAGAGTTAGCCCAAGAAAGGAAATCGAGAAGCACACTAAATCAGACGGGATTAGACCTGCCCCCTCCTCGTAGCTCAAACGATGGCTTAATCCAGAAGTCGTGGGGTCGAATCCTTGTAGTCCAGACGTTACAGCAGCGGTGATCTAATCCAGAGGTCACTTCCATTTCAGGGCTAGAACTCCCGAAGAAGGAAGTTATACCTGGGTTGATTCCCAGTACTCCACACTAGTTAAGAGGTTATTCTCTACTTTCCAGCTTGTAATACAGGTATATCAGTACTGCGTAGCACAATATTGCGTTGGCGATGAACATATCAGCCAATTGAACATGTCTAGGGACTGGATAGTTGATTTCAACTTTTTTTTTCAAAATTACTTCGTTTGTTTTTTTCCCTGTGGCACGCACTCCTCCTAATCAGCCCTAGCTGCCCTAAATAGTATTAAGGCGAAGAAGCATTGTTATCATAAGTATTGTTCAAAAAATTGATCATTGGATATTGCAGTTGAAGAGTCATTGGCTTAGTCATCACGGTATATGAGCCATGATATAATGCTTTACAAATATGTTAAGCGTACGCGTAATTTTTTGAAGCGTTTTCATTTTTATCTTATTTTAGTTTTCTATATTTTGGGGGCGTTTTTAATCAAAGAATTATTCCACTCGCGCTTGTTGGATATGAGATGGTTACAGTCACCTCGGCGCTAGGCGCCTCGTTGCCTATCTACCATCTCATATCCAACGCGCACTCATGTAATAGCGGAGCTTCGCAGCCCCATACTCATATAGGTAAGGAAAGGAAACCCATGAGTCGATTTTCTCATGGTTATCATAGCTAGCGGTATTTCTCGTGGGCGCGTACGCACGACGGCGACAGCGACGGCGACGGCAACGGAGTCGCGCAACATGGTGGCCATACTCCAAATAATAGGCTGACAGAGACATGCAGCCTTGGTTTACGGTGTACTTCTTTGATATTGGACATCCATGTTATGATCAATTGACACCTGTCAAAACAAGGTATCCGCCGACTAGTATCTGTGACAATATCGCGGGCTCAAGTTTATAGCTCATTTAGGTCACGTGTTTTTGTGAAGTTGACCGCTGAGCAAGTGCTGGTTTTCGATTGGATCGCAGGCTCATCTCAGGTTAACTTGTTGAAAGCAGG